CAGACAGACAGACAGACAGACACACACAGACAGACACACACAGACAGACACACACAGACACACACAGACACACACAGACACACACACACACACACAGACACACACAGACACACACAGACACACACAAACACACACCGACACACACACACACACAGAGACATACATACATACATACATACATACATACATACATACATCCATGCATGCATACATACATACATACATACATACATACATACATAGACAACACACGCACACAAACATGTGTATGTATGTCTATATCTATATGTGTAATATGTCTCGTATACGTAAAGTATCAATATATACATATGTCCGCAAACACGAGCACAATGGAACCTTAGGATAGCCACCCGCGCTCCCGTTTTGCTCTTCGTGCGGAAGTGTGAAGGTGGCAATCCGAGAGGGACCCCCCGAGCGATTCGGGGCCAAAGGCTCCCAAAGCCGAGGGTCCCTCAGCAATAATCCAAAACAACACTGGTGTGGCCTGGCGAGAAATCCCGCGTCTCGTTCGAACGAGTGGGGGAACTCTCGGCCGCACCGTGCACCACTCCAACCATAGGCGGCATTGTCGCAAACTAGAAGGAATCAGATTCCACCACTATAGACACTAGGTCCAAAAGGTGAAAGCCGCTCAGCAGTCGAGTGACACGAAGCCGGCGCTTCGGATTGAAGCCTTGGTAGTCAGGGTGCATAGAAGCTTGTCCGCCCACTGGTTGAAGTCGCGCTTCACGTGGGAGGGAGCCATCCCTTGCGATGAAGAAGGAACATAAGTTTTATTAGGACTGCCGCCGACGGCATCTTCCTGGACTTGCTGTCAAGGAGGGAGCAAATGTTCCCCTGGTTGTTTCTCGATGAGGAATACAGGCCGTCAGGACAAAGGACCCTAGCATCTCCAAGGCCGCGATGCTTCGCTTCGGCGAACCCTGGATGAAGGCCCATGGATGACGAGTCTCCTTGACCTCGTAGTGGATCCCGAAGACTGAAGAATTGTCGGGGTTCGGGTCCATGGCCAACCAGCATCCGATCTGCGCCTTGCAGTCGGAGGCGTTCGCATCACTAGAACCCCACCAACAGGACCCCGCTGCAAGTGGGGAGTTCTGCTTGTGGGGGGCTTTGAAGATTTCCGGCAGTAATGCACACTTGCTTCCAGGCCCAAAAAGGTGGAAGCAGAGACTTGGTCAGGGGGCAGCAGGTCGTAGCCCACTGGTCCATTTTTGATGTTTTGCACGTGAACACCTTACCCTGGGCGAGGTCCTCCAACAGCTTCATCACCAGGAGATGATTGTCCCTGGCCATCTGGACCGTCGGGCCCGCAGGATCTATCACGAATTTTAACCATGTGTTGATCTGAGCCATCAGGATCTCATTCCAGCTGAGCGGAGTCCCAAGCGCAAGCAAGAAGAATGGCCGTTCCCAAAACCCCGACTTCCTGACTCGGAGGAACACAAGGAAGTCACCGCCAAAACGCATTCTGACGAACCATTCCTGCCCCAGCTTCGCGATCTGTAACCCTCAACCTCTGAGGATGAGCCATTCGGTCTCCTCATCTGGCCATTCCCAGCCTTACGGGTGGATGCTTGATTCCACACTCGGGGCCAACGGCACCCTGCAAAGGCTCCACCAGTTCGTCCTGGGCCATGGTGCGGATGATGGGCTGCAGGTGCACACCAACCGCCCAAGGGGCGGCTCGGGGCCAAGGCCACCCCACCAGCATCGTGGAATGGCGCCATCGAGGAAGCAGCCGCCGCCGAAGATACCACGACTCCAGCCAGGGGTTGACTCGGTGCCAAGGGCTCCCTGTCAGCCCCCACGTCATCGGTGCTGCCATGGCGGCAATCGCCCCAATACCCGGAAGTGCTCTTCGTCCAATGCGGACTTGGTGGTCTCGGAGAGACGCGGAGATGGGGCCGTGCTCTCAAGCATTCTGTGGCCACTCCATTACTTGGTCCGCCTGCGTGGTATCCTCATCTTCACCCAGGTTGAGACGGGCCACGGTCTTTTGCATCTCTTCGTGTTTGACACAAACATCGTCCCTGGTGATGCTCTCGACGATCTCCGCCTCCCCGTCGTCAGGATCGGCCAAGAGCGTGGCACTATCGATCTCCCGCAACTCCCTTGCTGCCGCAAATTCCTCAACAACTCAACAACCATCCAAGCATCAGCGGGGGTAGCTGGTGCGGCCATGCCGAGCAAAAGCGAGCGAAGGGAAAGTTTTCAATCACAGACGTGGGGCGCGGGAACACGAGTCGCTTGAGCCAAAATGGCATTCGCCATTGTGACTCAAGCGTATTGCTGACATGAGGCATTGCACTCGCGCCCACTGGTTCAATTCGCCATACATGCCTCACTATATATATATATATAGGTATATATATATATATACACATAGATATACATGCACATACATTTGTGCTTACATGCACATCGGTGGAAATGTAGACCAGATGGCTAAGTAGATAGATAGTGACACGACGTGCACTATGTTGCAGAATCATGACGGTGTGACTGTGTGTGTGCGCGGGTATGTGGCGGTATGCATTTTGCCGCCTGATGTAGCGTCGATATGTGAGGTGTCCTTCAATTCCGTGATCAGTGACGGAGCAGAGCAACAAGTCTTGCACTGACTTTTGTTGTGATTGTTGTGTGTCGGGCCCGAAGCTGGTAAGTAATTGCGGATTTTCCGAAAGCATCTCGTGGACGCAAACCTCCAAGAAGCTACGCTTAGATGAATCTGTAGGCGACTTTTCCAGAACCTTGCCATGTAGTGATGACCACATCACGACGCCTGGGACCATCCATACCCCCAACATGTACAACACCACAGGACTCCCAAGGCTAGGCTAAAATTAAAAGTTCCCGGTTACATCCGGCCGAGCATGCGGCTCTTCTCGAAACAGCCGGGCTCGACGCGGAGCCTTTATCAGGTTGACAAAGCCATGCTCACAAATCGCCGTCACTGCAGTAGTAGCAGCAGCAGCAGCAGCAGCAGCAGTAGTAGTAGTAGTAGTAGTAGTAGTAGTAATAGTAGTAGTAGTAGTAGTAGTTAGTGATGGTAGTGGTAGTGGTAGTGGTAGTAGTAGTAGTAGTAGTAGTAGTAGCAGCAGCAGCAGGAGCAGGAGTAGCAGCAGCAGGAGTAGTAGTAGTAGTAGTAGTAGCAGCAGCAGCAGGAGGAGTAGT